CATACAGCGGCCAAAACGTCGTGAATATGACAACAAAGATGAGGCCAACAGTTCGAACAATGAAAATAGTGTAAATAGTTACAATACCTCATCTCTGAAATATAGACAGATCCCGAAGAAGGACGGAGCATACAGCGGCCAAAACGTCGTGAATATGACAACAAAGATGAGGCCAGCAGTTCGAACAATGAAAATAGTGTAAATAGTTACAATACATCATTTCAGAAATATAGACTGATCCCGAAGAAGGACGGAGCGTACAGCGGCCGAAACGTCGTGAATATGGAACAAAGATGTGGACAACATTCCGAATAATGTAAATAGTCACTATACCTCACCCCAGAAATATAGACAGATCGAATTCTATGCCAAAGTTACCCGCATTATCTTTTTACATATAAATTCATGGCTTCATTATTAATGTTACCAAAATATTTCCCATTGGCCGTTTAATGACATTACCAAATATTACTAGCTTTAGTGTTATCCTATCATTCGAGGTTTTCAATTTTTTTTCGACAAAGAATTTGACATATTACCCATACGAACAGAGAAAAGAAAGGTGCAAGAGAAGTTCTTTTTTCTTTATACAATTTATGTATAACATTTTCAGCAAGACATCTAAAGTTCCTTTGCGATTTTTGCTAAGTCTATTTTCCATTCCAGACATAGCAACATAGAGCTGACCATTAGAGGAATATTCATTTTTCTAGAGATTGCTTCTAACATTTGAAAGGTTTTGGCATTCAATTTCAGCAAGACATCTAAAGTTCCTTTGCGATTTTTGCTAAGTCTATTTTCCATTCCGGACATAGCAACATAGAGCTGACCATTAGAGGAATATTCATTTTTCTAGAGATTGCTTCTAACCTTTAAAAGGGTTTGGCATTCAATTTCAGCAAGACATCTAAAGTTCCTTTGCGATTTTTGCTAAGTCTATTTTCCATTCCGGACATAGCAACATAGAGCTGACCATTAGAGGAATATTCATTTTTCTAGAGATTGCTTCTAACCTTTAAAAGGGTTTGGCATTCAATTTCAGCAAGACATCTAAAATTCCTTTGCGATTTTTGCTAAGTCTATTTCCCATTCCGGATGGTCAGCTCTATGTTGCTATGTCCAGAATGGGAAATAGGAGTGGTAAATAATGGTTAATCCAACCTATGAACAGGTTAAAATTGTAGTATTCGGAGGAACATCCTTTTGGCAATTGGTTCCACAGGACAGTGATTCGCGAGAAGAAGCTGCTCGAATGGAACTTACTTCTCACAGATGGGATATAGAGGTAATGTGGGTGATTTGTTGTTATATATGTATTAAACAAATCACCCCAAGAGAGGCGGGAGTGCCGCTGGCATGCAAGGGGTTACAGAGAATGAGAGTAAGAGTAAAGAGGAATGTTTGGGAAAAAGATAAAGAAAAGGACAGGGATCAATGTCAAGACATCAGGAGATGTCGATTGACATTACATTTGAATATCTGAAGATCATAGTTATCAGGGAAGCAAGTAAGATGAAGGGAGTTCCACTGACAGGAGTTGCAAGATAAGAAGCTGTTAAAATGCCATGAAAGTACTTGTAGAAAAGACATATGTGAGAAAGTGACTGTAGGCATGGCGTGTTCTTACCATGAAAGTTTTGCCTTAGTGGGACCAGAGAATGTAGTTCGTCCGAGCACTTTCCGTGGAAATAACGTTAGAATAGCAAGAGGCTTGCCTCATCTCGCCTGTGGGAGAGGAGTTGAAGGGTGGAGAATAATTCGTCAGCCACTAGAGAGGAAGTATATGTCGGTGTTTGTGAGGGTGTTCAAGGACAAAATCATTAAAAGGAATCACGGACATCTTAACGAATCAGTCAAACGTTCATAAATGCTTTGGTATTTGGTCTGTGATAATGACTTAAGAAAGAAAATGTTCATATTTGCTATTACCTGGTAAATACCAAAGCTCATTCATTATACTAGAAATATCGTGAACCAATTATTGAAAAGTCAAATGAATTTATCGAATCCAGAAATGCTTCTTTTTTATTAAACTTATTCATAAAAATAATTGATCATTCATATTTTTTCGGATAATCGAAAGTCGTTTTTGTGGCGTGCTAACTTCGGAAATTGTATGAAGATCCCCGCTTGCTTCTTGATTAGAACAGTTACATACTCTTCTTAAATGCTGGAGTTCGATCCATGAAAAAAAAACTATAAATTTAAATGTTGATTTTCTCGGAAAGTAGGTTATTCTTACTTGGAAGAGTAGTGTTTACACAATCGTCTTCCCTTTTGTCACGAATTAGCAATTTGAGATTAAATACTGGGTGAGGTAGTAATACCTCTCAGAAGACGCAAAGACGAATCCATGTCTTCTCTCTCCAGCTGGGAATTAATAGCTGAATAGACTAGTGTTGTAGAGTAGTTTTCACAGTGGAGGCTAGTATTTCACTAAGTCGGTCCTAAATTAGGTTCGACGTACAAAACGTTAGGAACTTGAAATAATAGTTAATGACGCAGCAATCTAGTTGTGATAGTTGATACTTTAATGTCCGACATCGACTGACTCGACCAACTCCACTGAGCTCCCCTGGCGACTGCTACTACTACTACTTATTATATCTGGGAGAGTCTATTTACAATAGAATAGGTATGTTCTAGTATAACAACTAGGCTATTTAGTCTTGATTGGCAGCCAGTCTAGGCGAAAGACAACCCTTGGAATGATATCAATCCATCTATTCATCGCCCCACCCCACCTCATACAGCTAAGGTTGATGATAACTACTCTAGTGGGAGGACAACACTAAATACCAAACTTGTTAGGCGTGGGGCTAGTAACTCCACCTCGTAAAAACCCACTTGCTACAGAAAGCACATCAATGACGAGCATGGTGAACCTCAAGATGTTTACTCCATATGGAAGTCTACAACACATATCAATCCAGCATTTAATCTCCTTCGTAGTAGTATCCTTGTGAAGCCGCTCACTTTATCCAGTGTTGTTTCCATTGATGAAAGCATTCCTGGAACTCCTTTATTGGGGTAGCAATCAGATGCTTCAGGACATTCTCTTTGATTTCCTCGACGTATTGAAATCTCGTTTCTTTTCAAGTGAAGATTTTTGAAGAGGGATTAATTCGCAAGCGGTGAGATCAGCAGAATATGGTGGTTATAGAACCTAGGGAATGTTGTTCTTAGTTAAAAACTGCTGCACAAGCCATGATCACGGATGGAATCTCTGTGTGGTGTTGAGACAACCACACTCTACACACTTTCCTTCTAAGAACTGCTATAAACATTAGAAGTGAGTGAAAGCGTTATAACTTAGTGTATATGCATGACAGAGTTCAAGGTCAATCTGAGCTAAGCAGCTTCACCTTGCATACTTTAGCTCCATTACCATAGCAACAGTCCCAATATCTTTTGATCAAACCTCAGATGTGTTGGCCAGTTACTTTCACATTTCTGTTGCTTTGTTTCTAATTAAGCAACATTGTGACAGGAGTAGTTTTGTGAACAGTTGGGATATGTAATCCCAATACCTAGGCATGAACTGAACATTTTCCCATTTTGTCGTTCAATTACCAACTATTAGTCTGTGATGTGTGTGTTGTTGTTGTTGTTTGTTGTTGTTTGGATTTTTCATGTATTATTTTATTTTATTGCTTAAACGTTCTGAAGTTACACTCTTTATCCAGCTTCGTTTTCATAGATGGAACTCCTTTTTTGAGATAGCGAGCAGCTGCCCCGTCGCATTTTCTTGGATTTCATCGACGTCTCCTTTTCAAGTGGGATTTGATTTTTGAGGAGGAAAAAGCCGAAGGGGCGAGATCTGGGTAATATGGTGATTGTCGAATATGGTGAGTGTTGTGTTTGGCCAAGTATTGCTGCACAAGCCATGGTCGCTGATGGAACCTTTGTGGTGTGGTGAGACGACCACACTCTACACACTTTCCTTCCAAGCACTGCTATAAACAATGCAAGTGAGCGAGAACGTTCTAATTTAGCGTGTATATGTAATATATTTCAAGGACAATCTTTGCCAAGCGACTTCACTCTGTGTACAATAGCTCCGTTGCCATCGCAACAGTCCCGATAATTTTCGTTCTTTTACGAATTAGTCGTCTTAGTATCTCAGTCTTTGTTATTTTTGTCATATCGTTTCGATTGACTGCATTCTTTGATCTTCCCGGGATTATTCGGAGTTCTGGAAAAAAAAAACAATTACTGCTTATTAATCTACGAATCAGACTAATTTTATTGTTTTTGTCAAAACTTCAAATCTTTGGAAACCTGTTCATCGATTTGCTTTATTTCGATGTCCAAGTGGTTAGATCGATTCTTATTTTACAGTACCACCCCCGGAGTTATCGAGCTTATTTGATATTTATAGAGATCACTGTCGTCGTCCAAGGCGCCTCTCACATTGCTACTTATATAATCAAAGATACCTTGACTAGTTGAGTTTATGAATACACTACCGACGATAAATAATCGAAGTCTGCATTATTGATAAAGCAACAATATTTCTACTGGCATGAACTCAATTCTTTTCCCTAATTGAAGGATGTGTAACCGGTGCAATACTTATCGATTCGGAAAGCGGAATCGGCGGGGGCGTGTTCAAATTAGTCTGTATGGGTTAAACTTTTTCACTAATACACTTGGTGAAAGGCATGAATGTATCGCTTTTCTCTACCTACCAACTATGCGTGAAATCGCCGAGAAGACTGGTTCTCCATCCTTTGATGACATATATGAATTCAAATACACGGTGGAGGCAACGGGAAACCACTCTACTGCCCTTTCCAAGGGTTCATGAAGATTCACAGACAATAAAGACAAATAAATTGGTGTACATGCCTAATATTTACGTATATCTGGCTTAAGGAAACGTCACGTTGAAACACCGAAGTGAAGCAACGTCGAGCCTGGTCAGAAGCTAGATGGGTGACCGCTTGTGAATACCAGGTGCTGTAAGTTTTGATGTGCGATTTGTATAAAGGACTTAACGGGCATATCACATTGAAACACCGATTCCCGTAGGATCATCGAAGGTAAGCAACATCGAGCCTAGTCAATACCGAGATGGGTGGCCTCTTGTGTATATCAAGTGCTGTAAGATGTGTTGTGCGGTTGTTATAAAGGACTTACGGCCATATCACATTGAAACACTGATTCCTGTAGGTTCACCGAAGATAAGCAACGTCGAGACTGGTCAGTACCTAGATGGGTGACCGCTTGGGAATACGAGGTGCTGTAAGTTTTGATGTGCGGTTGGTACAAAGGACTTACGACCATATCACGTTGAAACACCGATTCCTGTGGGATCACCGAAGTTAAGCAACGTCGAGCCTAGTCAGTACGTAGATGGGTGACCACTTGGGAATACCAGATACTGTAAGATTTGTTGTGCGGTTGGTATAAAGGACGTACGGCCATATCACATTGAAACACCGTTTCCCGTAGGATCACTGAAGTTAAGCAACATCAAGCCTGGTCAGTACCTAGATGGGTGATTGCTTGGGAATTGGTTGATATGAGTGTGGTGTAATTGATAATGGCGCGAAGTTGTGAATTGGAAAGCCGAGTTCCCATACCCGTTGGGTTCGTTAAATTTACTTACGTGCAAATACCATTGGGAAAGGTATTAATCAACTTCTCCTCCCCCAACTATGGGTTAATTAGTAAGACTTGTATCACTAAACCATTATTATTTCCCCACCAAAATTCTTAGAATCTGAAAATATTTTCTGGCTTTAAATAACGTGCAAAGGGTTGATAAACCGAAAAAAAAAAACAAAAAAACAAAAAACGAATCAATCAATGAAATACTGATTAGCTATACAGGGACGTCTTTTAGATTTATTTACATTCTATGGAATATAAACTTGGCCACAAAGTGAGGGATCAATTTTTATATTGACTTTAATATAGAATTGGTCCACCACTTTATATCCACATTATAATTTCTTGTTTGTTTGTCAAATTCTGTTTAGGTATGAATCCACCTCTTCTCCTCCAGCTATGGGTTAATTAGTAAGACATGTATCACATGCAGATACCATTGGAAAGGTATGAAATCACATTTTTTCCTTCCAGCTGTGGGTTAATTTATTTTATTTCCCCCGAATAATAAACGTAGTTGTCACTTTAAACCCAGCATCGCATTTACAAAGCCTGGTTCAAATATCATTTCGGTATAAAACTCATGCATATCGACATACAAACAGGATAATCAATTCTTTGCAACAAAATATTATAGTTAACTTAAATGACTTTTGAAAAGCAAATAAAATGAGCCACATATTTATGTCTATATTGGTTCCGATCTGTCATTCCGTCTACGTTCACTTTCTCACATATATGCTGTGGCTTCCCTCTGTCTTTTCTACAAGTACTTTCATGGCAACTGTTCCGACGAGCTACTTTCACTGGTTCCCAAACTGAATGAATTGAAGCGTGCTACTAGGTTGGCATCTCGGACCCTTCCTTTCACTGTTGAAACGACTAAATGTAGCCATCTCTTCTACAGTTTCTTATCTCGCACCTCCTGTCAGTGGAACTCCCCTCTTCTCACTTGCTTCCCTGATAACTATGATCTTCAAATATTCACATGTAATGTCAATCGACATCTCCTGATGCCTTGACCTTGATACCTGTCCTTTTCTTTATCCTTTTCCCAAACATTCCTCTTTATTCTTACCCTCACTCTCTGTAACCCCTTGCAGGCTAGTGGCACTCCCGCCTTGCTTGGGGTGACTTGCTTAAAAATAAAATTATTTCGACCATTGTTTTTAATGCAAACAGAGAAAAATGTATTGCAGGAAAAAACTGGTTCAAATCAGAGCCCGAGCACACTAATGCACCTTGAAAGCTATCCAGATGCGCCTTGAAAGATACCCAGATGTGTCTTGAAAGGTACCCAGATGCACCCTGAAAGGTACCCAGATGCGTCTTGAAAGGTACCCAGATGCACCCTGAAAGGTACCCAGATGCGTCTTGAAAGGTACCCAGATGTACCTTGAAAGGTACCCAGATGCACCCTGAAAGGTACCAAGATGCACCTTGAAAGGTACCCAGATACACCCTGAAAGGTTCCCAGATGTGTCTTGAAAGGTACCCAGATGCACCTTGAAAGGTACCCAGATGCACCCTGAAAGGTACCCAGATGCATCCCGAGTTAACAGAAGAGTAAACTATGAATTATTTTTAAATTTAAAAAACTTTTTTTTATTTTTAACTCTTTGACCCCTGACCACCGCTTTATCGGTGGTAGAAAAAAATGACTTAATGCCCAGCCACCAGTTGAACGGTGGGTAAACACTTGTAATTACTTTTATATCTACCATGAAACATTACATAGCAATTATTTTAGAATTTTGACTCAGGAGCTCAGGTAGAAGTGTTAAAATTGTTCAGGAACGCAGGGTTCAAGGGGTTAAAAAGTCACCAAGCACATGGCTTCCATAGTCAAGTGTCAATCACTTCATTTTTTAAACTGGTTGCTAAATTCCTTAATCTTTAAGAAGGAGTGGATAATCCTTTAACTTTTGCCTTCCTCAAGGGATTTAAATCAATCATTATCGGCCTCTATAAATAAATAGATACTTCAAAAATCCCTTTAAATGAAAACTGTAATCTTTAAGAAAACTGAACCAAAATTTAATATTTTCAAATTTCATTACTTATTTTTCCTTATTAAAATTTAAAGTACGCCCCAGAGTTTTAGTTATTCCACAAATGCGCCAAGAAGTAAAAAAGGTTGAGAAACACTGCTTAAATAAATGGTCGGGAAAAATAAAGCCATATTGTTCAGTCGATGAGGTTTACTTAATGCGAAAAGCCTCTTCGCATCTCACTTGTTTTTGTACGGTTTCATTTTATATAGTCATTTCTCATTATCGCCGTGTTTGTTCATTTTGTTATTGTGTCCTCGGGGAAAACTATTCCACAACTACTACCACTACTGACGTCATTCTTCAACTACTTGTTTTAAAAATGAAAACCGAATTTAACGTTTGATATACATATATATAAATATATATACATACATACATACATACATACATATATATATATATATATATATATATATATATATATATATATATATATATATATATATGTATGTATTAGATAAGACAATTTGAAATCGTGCATAGCTTTGGGAGTGTATTGAATATTTGGGTGAATATCCTAAGACTACTACCACTGCTGACGTCACTCTGCACCTATTTTAATAGAACATCGGTTAATGTATATCGAAATGAAAACCTAAAATAGCATCGGAATCTCTCCCTCCCCTTCTCTTTCTGTATCTATCTATTCATCTATCTATCTATCTATCTATCTATCTATCTATCTATCTATCTATTATATAATGTAATATATATATATATATATATATATATATATATATATATATATATATATATATCAAATATTTGAAATCTTAGTACGTGTGTTGCTTTGGGGAGTATAGTTGTGAATATCCTACGACTACTAACGCTGCTGACGTCATTGTCATGCTTTTGTCATATAACACAATCTAAAGTATATTCAAGTGAAAACGTAAATTAATATCGGAATTTATCAATTTATCAATATATATATATATATATATATATATATATATATATATATATATATATATATAATATATATATATATATATATATGTATATATATATATATATATATATATATATATATATATATATATATATATATTCGTAAATATATATATATATATATATATATATATATATATATATATATATATATATATAACTCATAATAGTCCTTACAATGTCTCTTGACAGATCCATTATCACACTGTGGCATATTTAATAAAAAAGTGATGGAAACAGAAACAATCTAAATGAAATCAACTTAAACTTATTCCGATGAAGATCAAAAGGACGAAATACGTCACACGAGAACATTATCCATTTTTTTTCATACTTTTGTCCCTGAAAATGTTATTGATATATTTTGTATCATTTTTCTAATAACACTATATTCCTGTGTTATAATCAAAAGTAATGAAAATGGCATTAATTTCTCTTAATTCTTGAAAAAGTTCAACCCAAACTGAAAATTCGATTTTAACATATACACAATAAGAGTAAAAAATCTAAATATTTGAGAAGTTTTATTTTTCAATTTGCTAACAATGCAAGTTGATAGTACTTAATTATTTTGCCACTTTTAACAGTTTATAGCTATAGCATAACATACAAACTTACAAATAAACAAAATACAAGTTCTAGAAGGTTCCAGAAAGTTCTAGAAGGCTCCAGAAAGTTATAGTACTATTATAATTATATACGATTTTAGAAGTTATTATGTTGGGGTGGCATTTAAAAATGAACTGAATTAAATCCTTCTTTATTATTTTTAACAAAAAATCATCGAATTATGATACAGGGAATCAATTATTTCTGAAAAAGTTATAACATATTTATACTAGACAAGCTCCATATAAATTTATGTCCACAAATCCTTCGTTTTCGAGTTGTTATGTTTAAAGGTTACGGTAGACGCTGTCAAATGTACAATCCATGATACAATCCCAAAATACTCAATACATAGTTTGTGGTGTCATGCATCCTGTCTCAGCAATGCGACGATAAACAGCACCAAAGTTTGGATGACTTGGTTGCCTTCGGTCTGGTAACGCAATCTGATACAGCCCAGCAGCCTCGTGTCCATGACCATTCGCGCGGTCTTATGTAAAAAAACATATCTGCCTGCTCAGGATTATCGTACCATTGTTAAACGGAACACTTCCCAGTTAACTCACTACAACGTTGAAGACAGACTAGCCACAAATATACACGAATGACAAATGTAAATTAGTCAATATGTCAACACAGCGCCATCTACAATAAGCTTTCTTTAAGCTTAATAGTTCAAAAACGAAGGATTTGCGGACGTGTGTTTATATGTGTTAAATTGGTTACATACTATTTCCTCACTGGTTCTTTTGCCTTAAATATTCCCCGTGAGTGTTAAATTCTCTAAACATTCTTTCCTCATTATGTACCACTGAAATTGCCACTGTCTTTTGCTCACATTGTCTGCCCATGACATCGTAAGTGTTACTGCAGTTACTATTTAGGAGAAAATGACACCCGGATATGACGAAATATGATGTCAATATCTAAGAGGGAGGGACAAGTAGCAATACCACTTTAAATTTGAGCCTAATCTAGTCATTAGACTTCCGTAACCGAATTGATTAAGGCGTCGATCATGTAAAACTTCCACAAAAGCTTTTTTAAAAATATTTATTTTTATAATAAACATTTATTGTTCTATAACTTATTTTGACCTTGTCTTTCAGTCTGAAAAAGCAGCAAGGAAAGTATTTTGTCATTTTAAGCCTAATCTAGCCATGACACTTCTCTGACTGAATTGATTAAAGCACCCACCGTGTAAGGACTGCTTTTGAACTATTTACATTCTTTCGTAATAAACAGTTTTAATTCTTTAATATTCTCGATTCTTTTTATTCAAAATCGCCATAGAAAAACGTTTTAAGAATGCTAGAATTTTTGTTACGATCGAACGTGTAGAATTTGAAGTTTGGTTTTTAAACTTTCGTTCTCTAATATTGAACACTAACGTATAAGCGAAGGCCAACTTCTCTATCTTCTTTGTTTTTCCTTCAAATCTTTCTCTTTCTTCCCGATTTTTCTGTCTTTTATCCCTTCTTGTTTATTTAATTTTTACGCTGTTTACTTTAACGGTGAAAGAGTGGGTCGCTTTAGAACGTGCTGATAAAAAAACAATAATAAGATGAAGAAATCAGAGTAAAACTTCAAGGCAATAATTCAACTTAAGCCTCGAACAATAACTGTCATAATAAAAACCTGAAATTCTATGATATAAATATTTTCGTTATTTATCGAATTCGTCTGACTAAAAAAATGATGATATTTGGAAAAGTTTGGAACTGAGAATTCAGTTAAGATAAAAATATACTAACAAACTATAATATTGAACAAGAAATAACATCCCCTCTTGTATTCTGAGATATTTTCCGAATGTCACGCCAAGGGGAGATAATTTAATTTTTAGCTGCATTTTTTTATTTTTATATTTACAATTTCACTTAACTATTTTTTTTTTTTTAAATCAGTTTACTCCAAGAAGGCGATAATACCATCAATACGCAAAGGTGGAGGTGGGGGCTACTGGGAGTGAAAGAGAAAAGACTTTAGAAGGAACCGGAAATCCAATCCTAAACACTGAAACAAATATAAACCTCTACTCCTGTTCAAAAGACCGGAGAGGAATGTGAACCGGCGAACCTATCCACTCCCATTGAGGGGAATAAAAAAGTAAATAAATAATTAATAAATACAATTGTAAAGTTAAGACGGAGACGTCAGAAGTATAGAGTTGAAGTAGACTTTAGAAGGAACCGGAAACCCAAACCTAAACAGGAAACAAGGATGAAATTTTACTCCCATTCGAAAAATCTGGGAAGAGTGTGATTTAATGGTCCTGTTGTCAATATTCATGGCCCACTAAAGAAGAAGTGAATTATAGATGTTTGCAATCATAATTCTTCCGGAATTAATTTCTCTTTCTTGACAGTTAATTGCCAGTCATTCCTGGGGAAAGATAGTGGAGTAGTTTACCGTTGATTTTAACACAGGTTCCTATTTTTTCTGATCTGCGAATTGACGAGATGAGTTTTTTGGGAAAGTTAATCGATTGGTTTCTCATTGCCTTCTTTACAAGTTCTTTTTCTTTATTATTTATGAACTGCCATGCCTTCTTGGGAAACATAGTGGACTGGTTTCTCGTAGCATTCTCCATAGATTCATTTTCTATGTAATCTGTGAATAATTATGCCTTTTCTGAAAAGATAGTGGAGTGGTTCCCTATTGTCTTCTTTATAGGTTTCTTTTTTTGGAAAAGATACTGGAATGGTTTCCCATTGCGTGCTCAACAGGTTCCTGTTCTTTATTATATGTGAATTGCCATACGTTCTTTGGGAAAGATAGTGGAGTAGTTTACCTGTGCTTTTTTCACAGATTCATTTTCTATATAATCTGGGAATAGCCATGTTTTCTTGGGAAAGATAGTGGATTAGTTTTCCAGTGTTTTCTTTACAGATTCATTTTTTATACAATCTTGGAATAGCCATGCTTTCTTAGGAAAGATAATGAGTAGTTTACCTGTGCTTTCTTCACAGATTCATTTTCTATATAATCTGGCAATAGCCATGCTTTCTTGAGAAAGATAGTGGAGTAGTTTACCTGTGCTTCTTTAACAGATTCATTTTTTATACAATCTGGGAATTGCCATGCCTTTTTGAGAAAGACAGTGGTGTTGTTTTCCATTACCTAATCTACAGGTTCATTTTCTTTATTATTTGTGAATTGTCATCAATTCTTGTGAAAGACAATGCAGTGGATCCCCGTTGTCTTCTCAGCATGGAATTCATGTTTCTTTCTCTAATATCTACTATGTTATTTAACTCATGATTTTCCGAGATATTAAATGGCTATTTGTTCGTTAGTACACGTTTGCTTTTACGCTCATAAATGCCAGTAAGCATTTTAGACTATTTTGTCTAAACCACCCTTCATGACATTTCTCGCATCCTGAAGCGGACAGCCATGTTATCCGATAAAGATTTATTAGGTGCACACATGAATTATAAATAAATTTCTACTTTTCCTCGGCATCTTATTAATACGTGACACTAACAAATTAGATTTTAGAGTTTATCGTAAACCCACTAACAAAAACGGTCTAATTAATTTCTATTCTCATCACGATAAAAAAAATAGAGACCGCAGAATATGCAGCCCAGAATACGTAGGTAAAGAAGAGAAATACATTGAAAATAATTTAATATCTACATCATTTCATCTTCAACACTGGGAAACGAGCACACAAAGTCGACAAATCCCCCAAAATAGACACTGATAGCATCTCTAACATCAACAACACAAAATTCACAATCCTACCCTGTAACAATATTTGTAAATAAAAATATTTATCCCTAATATTAGGATCATTATCATCCTGTTCAAGGCAATTGGAGATATAATTAGGAAGAAAAATAAATCCAACACCAATCCAGAAACTGGCGTTTATCAAAGAAATAACTGAAAATGTAAAAGTACTTATATCGGCGAGACATCTTAACATCTAGAAGCCCGTATCTACGAACATAAAAGATATTTAGGTTTAGAAAAACATTTAAATTCGCCTGTAATTCACAGTACAAAAAAACAAAACAAAACAAAAAAACTGCTCATTTCCTTGATTTTACAAATGTCACCCTAATTATAAAAGAACATTATTCTTTACGTCGGAAGTACTTCGAGGGATTACTAATAAATATTTTAGCAACTATAAACACACAGGAAAGCATTATATAACATCATCAACCTTTATTGAATCCATTCTTAAAGAATCTAACATATGTTTATCTAAAACAAACGGGCGTCCTGGGTAAGACGATAAACTACATCCGACAGCAAGGCCTTTGATCAAGAGGTTTTGAGGAGCGTGGAACCACCTCTCTTAATTGCTGGTGTTCTCAGGTTCACCCTGACCCGGGGTGGTAGCACCTGTTAGGGTCCCAGCTATAGGCATATAGTTAGCTCCCATATTGGTGTGGAAACACTGTGAAAGTATAAAATAGTTATTAATACCAGCAATAGATTCTTGGAGAAATTATTACCAGCAATACTTTTTTGGAAAAAATATTGCCAGCAATACATTTTTGAAAAAAAATATTGCCAGCAATACATTTTTGGGAAAATATTAACAGAAATACTTTTTGAAAAAAATATTACCAGCAATAAAAATCTTGTTGGCATTAAATAAACTATTGAGGTTGATATGCCGCAAAACAAAAGCAAACGGAACCAAACCTAAAACAAAAACGTACATAAAAAAGTTCCCAAATCAACATGCGAAGAGCTAGCAAACATAATGTCTACTCGACACACACACACACGCACATGGACAATTACAAATACATACACATACACGCACATGGACAATTACGAATACACACACACACACACACACACACACACACAATTACCAATATATGCACATAGACACGCACACACACAATTATGAATACATACACACACATACGCGCGTACACACAATTACGAGTACATGCACACACACACAATTACGAATAAATACATACATGCACACACGTGTACACATACAATTATGAATACATACACACACATACGCGCACACACACAATTACCAATATATGCACATAGACACGCACACACTCAATTATGAATACATACACACACATACGCGCGCACACACAATTACGAGTACATGCACACACACACAATTACGAATAAATACATACATGCACACACGTGCACACACACAATTATGAATACATACACACACATACGCGCACACACACAATTACCAATATATGCACATAGACACGCACACACTCAATTATGAATACATACACACACATACGCGGGCACACACAATTACGAGTACATGCACACACACACAATTACGAATAAATACATACATGCACACACACAATTATGAATACATACACACACATACGTGCACACACACAATTACCAATATATGCACATAGACACGCACACACTCAATTATGAATACATACACACACATACGCGCGCACACACAATTACGAGTACATGCAAACACACACAATTACGAATAAATACATACATGCACACACGTGCACACTCACAATTATGAATACATACACACACTTGCACACACACAATTACGAATACACACATACACGCACACACACACAATTACGAATATAAATCACCATCTGAATCCTACATAGACAAAAGTAGAATTATTATACGCTTACATACATAAAGCAAAATTTATGGTTTTACAGTTTTTGATTTCTTGGAACTTCGAAAGAATGCGTCATCTCTCCTTGAATTCGGAAAGCTATAAATTATAGCAATGTTTGTTTTTACAAGTCAATTGCATATGAAACATGCTTAACCAATGAAAGTGAAACAACACAGAAATAAAAAAAAATACCAGAATTTCTCTGCTATTTTTTCTCCATATGCGATTCTCTGATGAAGCTTTAATAAAAGTGAAACATGTTACATTGTAAACGTCTCTTTTATCTTATCATATATATATATATATATATATATATATATATATATATATATATATATATATATATATGTATATCCTATTCTTAAACCGTCAATGGTGCAATGTCTATGTGTCGGCTTATCCTAACATGAAAAAATAACTCACAAACCTCTAATCTCTGACCTTATTTTCCTATTTAACGTAGATCTGACATTTAATTGGTTAACCGTGATACACTCACAAGTGTATTTTTAATTCTAAACTTATGCCCCCACTCCTTCAACTTTCGGAAAAAGAGGTAACGATTTGTTTTTATTCCCCCCCCAAAAAAAAAATCATTTTATCACCAGTTATCAACCATCGTCTGACGAAGTACAATCATAGGATTGAAACATGAAAGCTTTTGTGTAGCGATTTCAAAAATGTTTTTATTATAGTCTCTGATATATATATATATATATATATATATATATATATATATATATATATATATATATATGTATGTATGTATGTATATATACAGTATGTCAATAAAGTCTTTATATAGTTACATACAATAACAATTAAGACAAAGCAATTAATCAATAGTCAAGAAATTTAC